GTTTGACTTTTGCACCATTACAATACTTATAGGCCCCGGTGGCACGACCTAAGCTTTTGTCCTTTATGCACCATTTGCTGACAGTGTTGATTGGTTGAGTTTGATGAATGAAGCCAGAATAGAAAATGGAATAGATTTTTTGTTTCACTTCTCACAAAAATACATTTTATGTGTTTTAACTGTAGCTATTATCATCTCCATGCTATGTTGATATGATGTTAGATGATGTCGGTATGTTATAATAATACTCTTTGTCTAATGCTGAAGTATTTGTGATTTTGATAGGTTAACAGCATCTTTAAAGGAGAGTTGTTTCTGAGCAGACGCATGTCTGACAGACTGATCATGAAAGCGTTTCTGACAGACAGCAAATACAGGCTGCTCATGCGAGAGAAATTGAACATGTCACTTAGCTTTTGAAGAAGAGAACAGACAGAAATGTTTTCTGATAGACAGAGACTGTTTCTGTAGTTCTGAAATACTCAAATGATCTACTGTCTCACACACAGAGCTCACTGTATGCCACAACGCAGTGCACACAACTGCCCTTTTCCACTGTGACGAGTGAAGCGGAAGTAACAACGGCATTATCATGCAGTATTACATGTGATGAGTGGAATACTTGAGGCAGAAAACATTTCAAACCGTTTACTACAGTGTCACATGACACCATTTCGTACAATAATCTTGCCTGGCAGCCTGATCAAATAACCAAGAACAAAAGCACAGTTAATATCACTATCTGTGTATGTGTCACAGTGGAAATGGAAGTTCACAAAAGATCTGATTTAATTGAGTATATATAATCTGATGCGCTGTGGGTTTTAGAGTAAAGCACGACACTGGCTATGTTTACATGTAACCAAATAGCCCGTTAGTAAAGATTGGCAGCTCAATCGGATTGAAAAGCCTTTATGTAAACACCTTAATCGATCTGATTGAGCTTAATACAAATTAAATTTAAATCGTATTGAAAGGGGTGGTTTATTCCTAGTCTGCGCATGTGCATTACAATGACGTAATGAAGTACGGCACACAGAACGAGCTGTTCTTCATGTTTAATAAATTGTCATATAAATGAGTGTCCCGTCATTCTAAAATTCTTCTTTCACTCAGCGTTTGTGAAGTGGAGCAAGACAACATCCCACCAGCCAGTTGTTGTTTCTGATTCTCATCCACAGACGACTGGTTTTGGGCATTTTTACTTCCGTGATAAATATAAGCAGCATGGCAAAATGGTTTATATGCTCATTGTCTCCAAATTATGAAAAATTATCAGAAATGGATAAATATAAGTCTGGTATTTAAAAAAAAAAATAATAATAATAATTTAGGAGACTGATTATTATGTGTAAAAGCCTGGGAATTGTATATTTGTGCAGTGTGTGCATAAAAAAAATCTATTCGAATTTTGAAGTTTGTGAAATAAGCGTGCACATTAACCCGATCACGTTTAGTGTTCATGTAAACAATATATTCAGATTCATCAATCGGAATGAATTCAGTCCGATTGAAGCAAAAGTTGTGCATGTAAACAGCCACTGTGTGCATTTGGAGTTTGTTTGTAATCACATTTAAAACACTATTAACATTTTTTACAATCATAATCATAAAAATCAATGTGCAGCCCTACTGTAGAGTTACCCATAATCCCCTCTACGAGAAGAACATTCATATTAGAAAATTTTTTTAGTGCATTTTACACTAGAAATCTGCTGTGGCATAAATCTGTCGAGTTTTTCTGAATCAGACTAAACACACATCTGCCGGTCAGTGTTTGGTTTTACTTTTCACAGCCTCATGTATCACGTTAAAACAGTGCAATTACGGCCAGAACAAGTGTCGTCATATTTGAGGAGCAGCAGCTTCTCTTTTTTAAGCAAAAAAAAAAAAAAAGCTATTTCTCTGTTCTTGTGGTGGTGATGTGCAGCGTGAGCTCTTAAGCGGGATTTACTGTCGACCCCAAACGTCATTAGAGCAGATTCACTGACAGCCGCATCTTTGATGTCGTATTCCACGGCGGCACGGCGCGTGTACAGATAACTGTATGACACCCGTCCTGACAGCCGCAGAAGATACGATTTTACGTATTTACATGCTGAGAAAACTGCTCTTTGAAGTACAGAGAGACAGAGAGAGAGAAACACAGGGTGGGTGTTGGCAGTCGTCGGCAGATATTTTGGATCGTTCAGTAAAATCCCTCTGGACGTTGTGGTGACACCCTGCTCACAGATCCAATTATAGACATGGACTATGAGATACGTATGTCACATCCTGCATTAACCGGTTTGCATCATCCTTAACGAGAGATGGTCAAAGCGACAATCCATCATACTAGGACTGTGCCGTTGTTGTTATTGCTAACTAGAACAAATACATTGCTTAAACATTCTATTTGTTAAATTTCCAAAAAATATTAGGTGAAAAACTAAAAAAATTGTAAATGTTCCCTTGAAATAATTACGTACTAAAATAACTAAAACTGAAATAAAAATCAATTAAAGATATATAGAAATATAAAAAAAAAAAACTTGATGAAAATGAAGCACATACACATGAAGCACATACACATACATTTGTTTGTTTGTTTATTTATTTACTTATTTATTCACACACAGTGGTGTGTAGTAACTGAATATATCTGGATTTTACATAATATATCTGGATTACATAATCAGATTCCAATAATGTAATAAATGATTGTTTAAAATACTCAGAATCAGAATGCAGTTACATTTTTTTATTAATTACATGATTACTTAATGCACACAATGACAGTTGTGTGTGTGTGTGTGTGTGTGTGTGTGTGTGTGCATATATATATATATATATATATATATATATGAAGAGTTCAGATGCAAAAGCCTCTAAATGCCATTTGAAATTTTCTTCTAGAATGTTCATTTTTATCAAGCTTGTATATTTAAGTTCAGTATTTTCACTTAAATGGCAATTAATAGGTAATCTTCATTGCAATTTAAGTGAAATTACTGAACTTAAATATACATGCTTGATAAAAATTATCATTTTAGAAGAAAATTTCAAATGGCACTTAGAGGCTTTTGCATCTGAACTCTTCATATATATATATATATATATATATATATAGGGGTTGGACAATGAAACTGAAACACTGGCCAATGTTGGAGGTTTCACATCTATATGCCTGGCGGCCAATCTTCAGAGTGAAGCACGGGTGGATCAGTGATGGTTTGAGCTCCAATATCATGACAATCCTGATTGTATTTGATGGACACGACACTGCCGAGGACTACCAAACCCTTCTGGAGGATCATGAGCACCTGATGCTCAAACCGTGTATCAGCATGATCATGCACCAACACACACAGCAAGACTTGTGACAGAAGGGTTTGATGAAGATGAAAGTGACGTTGAACATCTCCCATGGTCTGACAGTCACCAGATCTGAATATTATTGAGGTGTTTTGGAGGAGCGAGTCCACCAGCATCATATAGTGACCTGGACACTGTTCTGGAAGAGGAACGGTTCATAATCCCTCTGGTCACTGTGAAGGACTTCTATCTGTCAATTGGTGCTGTATTTGGATGCAAAATGAGGCCCTCACCATTCTAACAAATTATTGTGTAGTAAAACCAGGTGTTTCAGTTTTTTTGTCCAACCCCTGTGTACAGTATGTATCTATGTATGCATGTATCCTGCATAAAGTTTTTTTTTTAATGATCCGCTGCAGTGTGTGCTACATATTTCAATATTTTTACCTTGATGCTCTTTCAGTTATGTTAGTCACTGTTTTTCAGCTGTCTGAATGTATTTGAGTTTAATTGCTTGTTTCTCTCACATCAGTGAGTCATTTTTATATAGCTTTAGATTATGTATTAAGTTGCTAATAAAGATAAAGGACAAATGCTCATTCTGCAGTTTTTTTTTGCATTTGCATTTGGAGTTTGGCGAGTATTAATTTTGGACTCTAGGATTCATTTACCATCTATTCTAATGACACCTAAGCTGCTCTCAGATCATGATGTAAATCTCTTAAAATAAATGGCAGTTCTTATCTTACTTCTCTGATTTCCTGATATGCTGCTGCTCATTCCATCACACACACACACACACACACACATAAAATGGCATGTTGGTAATCACAGCAGAATCAGGGACAGTGAGTCATTGTTGTTAAAAATAAAAAAAAATAAAAAATGTTATTATACTCAAATAGATGAATGTTCGAATGGATGCCGCCATGGAATGAAAAATAAAAAAGTACTTTTTATCTCACATTTCACACTTTTTTTTCCCTCATAATTTTGAGTTTATATCACAGTATTTTAGGAGAAAAGTCGATAACTACTTTAAGATACGGCAGCAGTAAATTGCAAGTAACTAACACTTAAACCTAACCCTAACTATAACTCTATACATGTGCATGTAGTTAATTATTATTACTCAGTACATACTAGAGTACAATAACTATTTCACCTTAAAATAAAGTGTAACCAAAAAGTTAGAATTGTGTGATATAAACTCACAATTCTGACTATTTCTTTAGTTTCATCATTTCATTTTATTTCATTATTTCATTTCTTTTTCATTTTTTCATTCATTCATGTTGAAAACAAGCTTCCATAATTTATAAAAATACCAAATTAACCAGGGAGAAAAAAAAACATATCTAAGTAAAAAGTAAAATAAATAAAAAATCAGTAACAACAGGGACAAACAAAAGATACATAGAAATATTGGCAAAATTAACTTTTCAGTACTTTACAAGGAACAATTAGGAACAATAATGAGAGGCATTCTGAGTCAGCATAATCCTCTGATTTCTGCGACATCAGCAGCCTTCTTCGTTCATGGGATTATCTTCAAATCTTTCCTCTTGTTCATTTGATTGCATTTATTGCTGTGTTGTATAACTATGTCTCGCCCCAAGAGCGCAAGGCACACAAACTCTAACCTCTGTTCAATAATCCGCCTGAATCAGTTGTGTAACAACGTCTCTTCTCGCTTTCTCTTTCAGCGCCACCAAAGTTCTTAAGAACCCCGAACGATCAGACGGGTGTTCAGGGCGGCGTTGCCTCCTTCATCTGCCAGGCCACAGGTGACCCACGGCCCAAAATCGTGTGGAACAAGAAGGGGAAGAGAGTGAGCAACCAGCGTTTTGAGGTATTAGGTCTATTGTTCTGATGTAAAATGCTCGACAAGTGAATGCTAACAATAACCACGCCCCCATTGAACACACCCACCACTTCAGCCACACCCATCCATTTCATATTCTCACACCACTAACCTGCATGATTGCTCATGGCCTGGGCCCGAATTCACAAAAAGCTTTATCAAAATTTGAGAAAGTTCTTAAAATCCTAAAAAGATTATAACAATGTTCCGAAGTACAATACTTAAAAACACTTTAGAAGTGTTTCTTTAGAAGTTCTCGAATATTTTCTTAAGATCATCTTAAATGTGTGTGTGTGTATATATATATATATATATATATATATATATACACAGTATATATATTTTTTTATAAAATGGCATTGGTGTTATCTGTAAAAGCATGATAATTTTTTGTCTCTACTAGCTTGAAATGCTGCTGAAAATTTTACCACAATTACAAAATAATAATAAAAAAGACGTCTCTATTGGATATCTCTTTGTAATTTTTTTTAATGTAGCCTATTTCGAAACCATCAAAAAACTTGTTGGAGGTTATCCTAACTTTAAACTTTATTATTATTATTATTATTGTAACATTATTTTCAAGAATTTGAATTCTTTAGTTTTGTCTTATGATCTATGGCAAGAGAAAATATTTGAACTTTAAGTATTTTTGGAAAAAATAAAATATTCTTAATTTCCCTTAGTTTAATTTACTAAAACTTAAACCTAAACTTAAACAACTACAACTAAAACATCTATGAATACTAATAAAAAAAACTATATAGACAATATATATATATATATATATATATATACTAAAAAAATAAAATAAAATACAAATAATGATAATGTTTTGTGAATCCGGCTCTTGATCTCAATAGCTTTGCAATAAATAATTTGAAGAAATGATGGAACATATTCTCTCTTCAAGCATATGCTTTGGATTTATGAAATGCACTTTATTCCCAAAAGTTTGTAAGGAACTTTTTTTCCTCTTCTGTTGATCGTCTCATTTGCTTCTCAGTGCATGTTCTCTTGTCTAACGTGCCTGGATCCTGTATGTTTATTTATCTGTTTTTGGATCGCCACCTCAGCCCAGCATGATAAACGCATAACAGCTGAACACTGATAAGATTTTTATTAATTTCGACCATCTTCCCTCTTCTGTTCGGCTATCATCTGGCCACTAATCTATGGATGCCTATCGGCTGATATGGCGCCTTTTCGCCTGCAGAAACTAAATCTTATCAACGTTCATTACATGCTATACAATACTAACATTCCAACTAATATGCTAACCTTCGATTCGCAACAAAGTCTTTACCCTCACCCATGCCACTTACTCATTACTACTATCTCTTTAAACTAGGGCTGTCAAATCAATTAATCGTCTAACATAAATCTCCTAACATAAAATATAATATGTGTGTGTACATAAATGTGTGTGTGTACACAGTATGTGTGTGTGTGTATGTGTGTATATATATATATATATATATACACACACACACACACACACACACACACACACACGGAGGCAAGCGCACACATACACACACACACACACACACACACACATACATATATATATATATACCGTAAAACTTCAAATAATAGCCAAGTCCCAAATAGACGCCTGTCTCTTTTACACGCCTAGTGTGGCTGCAGGTTTGGGTAAATACAAGCCGGTCTCAAATAGAGGCCGGTCTGTTTTTTGTTTCGGTTTGTATTAAATCTTCTAAAACCCGTCAGATCGTCCGCTTTTTGGTGGTCGCCAAAGCAAATTTTTGTCCTGCCAAAGTCTTTTTTGATCGGTGAGTGATGTAGAATATATGACTGCTGGGCTTGATAGGGCGTGAGCAGGGAGAGCGCGCCTGAAAAACGCACGCACTCTCACATCTTCAAACAACACACGCGCTTTCTTGCTCTCTCTCCCTCTCGCATATTAATCAATTAACACAACAATAAAAGGTCGGAAGACCACAGTTTCCCGTGAAGCATTTGGAGATTTTTAGAGATTAGAGACTCAATGAACAACACTAAATTATAAAGGCTCATAGTCTCATAGACGCCTATCTCAAATACAAGCCAGTGCAGTTCAACGATTTGGGAAAATAAAAGCCCGGGCTATTATTTGAAATTTTATGGTATATAGACAAATTTAGATGCGATTAATCGATTCAACAGCACTATTTTAAACATAATGCTCAGTTTCTACTTGGCTTCGTTAGCCAACGACCGCATATGTGTGAGCGCGTGGTCACACCCACATTTCTTTGCGTGAAAAGTGACATTGAAAAAAAAGACAGAGTATGACCACTGATGTATTTAATTCTGTAAAATGGAGAACCCGTCCTGGTTGGTTCTGTCAGAAGTGAGTATACATCTCCCCAATTGCCACCAACTAACTGTCTGTGAGCGTCCTGTGTCCCGTCCGTCTGGTGTCAGTCGGTCTCGTCGAGGCTAATCGACTGTCTACTGTTGTTCTTTCTAATGACGTTTTGTGCCTGTGACGTTACATCTCCATTCTCGTTTCATGTTTCATATGATCAACTTTAAGAGTGGGCCAGATCACGCTAGCTGAAAGTTGCACGGCCATCCCATTCTTAAAGCCACCGAGTTTACTCGTGAAACGTCTGGTTGAAGAATTTTGCATTGCCTTCATACATTCACTGAGCATTTTACACAAAGGAATTTTATTGTATTTGTTCAAACATGTAACAAATTTCTGCCCAGTGCATTATAAGCATGTTGTCCTTCTCAAAAGTGCAAAATTCTGTGAAGTGGTAAAGGACAATGTTGTCCCATCAGTCCTTGCTTCAAACTCTCAACTACAGATTCCTAATTTTTACACAGGGAGGGACGTTTTTACTGCTTGCTAAATATTTATCATCATAACACAAAGCTTCATGTGCTCGTCGTCTGTTAATTATGATCCAAAATAGATAATTATTTTGTCTGCTTTTTAAAACAAAAAGATGAGGAGGATGGATAGCATGTGCCAACAGCAGGAAACTTGGTAACACTTTAGAATACAGTTCCATCATTAATTATTAACTACACAGAAACAACTGAGTAACACAATATAAACACTCTAGTAACTACTATTAACCAAAAATCAACTTTGATTAAGGAATTAGTAACTAATAGTGCTTAGTCGAATGTGGTAGTTCACTATTAGCTAATCAATAACTACAATATTTTTTTCATAATGTATAATTAATTCTAATGTGAAGATCATAACAACCCACAAATAGTTACTCAAGTGGTACTACTTTCTTCTAAAGGAATTACTAATTATTTGGATCAGTATTCTAAAGGGAAAAGTATGGCAACTCCCAAGTATTGACTAAAATCATTGTAAGATTTTGAATGTTTTTGTAAGGCTTTAAATAGTAATTCCTTCTGATGGATTAGGTAATGCTTAAATCTTTTCTAGTGGGTTACCATGATCTTCACTTTAGAATACTGATCCAGATAAATGAGTAATTCTTTCTGAATGATTTGGTAATACTTGAGACAGTACTTGAGTCAGTACTAGTGGGTTACCTTGATCTTCACTTTTGAATTAATTATGCATATGCATTACTCTCATTAAAGGAGAAAACGCAAGTATCTGAGTTTTTGCAGAACTACACCCCCTCTGGCGACAAGCGAAACTGCGTGCGTGCTCACACACACATACACGCACGTTTGCACAAGCTGTTCATAACCAAAGGAGCATCAGCCACACACTGTGTGGCACACATCTTTTGTTACAGTCATAATGAGGTAATACAGTTATAAATCTGCAGGTCATTTAACATATATGAAAGGAAAGGCATTCAAATACACACTTATGTGTGTGTGAGAGGAAAACCGGGATAGTAGCAAACTTCGGTTTTTGTTTCCATCTATCTCCATATTGAACTGTTTTATGTGCTTACTGTATCCACGTATGATTGTATAATAATGGAAACACGTTCATGAACAATATAAGTTTTTACTTTGTATAGGACCCGTTTGAGCCTTAGAGCAGACCGGAGATCTCTCCGTTTGTTGAAAGCCTTCCCGATGTTGACTCTCGTCTTAGTCCGATGCCTGGCACTGGACAGACAGAAGTTGTATTTTCTTTGTCTCACGTGAAGTTTGCGTTGGGGTTTGGAATGAACTACAAGCCGGTCTCTTTGGGACTGTTTACACCTGGCCACAATGCGTTTTCTCAGATCGGATAGCTATCTGATTTATCAAAACGATTCCATTAGGCCTACACCTGGTCACATAAATGTGTTTTTGCAAAACGGATATAATCTGATCTTCAATTCCCGCGCTATATATGCTACAGAATTCATGAAGTGCACGTCACCGAAAGCAACAGATATGAGCTGCATTTTATTAATCATCGGCTAATTTCAAAATTAGCGATCTCAATGATCAGAGAAGGGCTCATTCAGCCCATCAGGCGATTGTTTAAGCATGTATGGGTTAGAAAACGGCTATTTTTAACATGAAATGTTGAGCAATGCACCTTTAATTATGAACCTGTATAAACTCCACCCCTTTTCATGGCTCCGCTCATTGTCTTTTGACTTCCAGTTCGTATTTCCACAGCGATCTATACGTATTTATGAATAAAATGCTCGTTTCAAAAGCTTCCTTCTCTACTGACATTTGTCATGGGATCAGTTTTAAACATTACAGTGCTCTTGATAACTTTTGTTAACTCTACAATAAGAAATCCACTTAAGCAGCTAATTATTCTTTGTCAGTAATGCTGTAGTAATATACAGAGCTACCGCAAAACCGGAAGTTCAAAGAAAACATTCTGCATGCACGTTTCTCTGGCGCATAAGGTCTATATAAACTCAACTACAAAAAAAAAAAAAAAAAAAAGAAACATCCCTTTTTCAGGACTGTGTGACTTTCAACAATGATGTACAAATCTAAATAACTTTACATATCTTTAAAGGGTTTAAACAGTGTTTTCCATGCATGTTCAATTAACCATAATCAATTAATTAACATGCACC